ACACACACACACACACACACACACACACACACACACACACACACACAGAAACATTATTGCACACCTTTGCAGTGATAGGCAATACCTAAATTTAACTGACAGTTGAATAATTTGCAGCAAATAGACAAACATTTCAAAGTAATCTGGTTAATCCTTCATGTTTTATTTCAGTTTTGATTAAAGTCCTACTTTTTTTATTTTAAGTCCTACCTAAATGATTGACTCCCATATGCATCTCGAAGCCATCAATGGTTTTGGTGTAGGGGCACAACATCACTCCAGCATTGCTGATGAGGACATGAAGTTGGTTGACCTCTACAGAAAATAAAACATAAATCATCATACATGATTCAACATGATTCATTCAGAGTAGATGGAAATACTGCACCAACTGTACAAACCTCTTAAAAACTTCTGTGCAAATGCTTGTATGGAGCAGGTATCAGCCAAGTCCAGCTCTCGAACTTCCACCTGAGCTTCGGCGTGTGCAGCTCGTATGCTCGCCGCGGCCTCCTCGCCCTTTTCCACGTCTCGACATGCCATGATCACCCGAGCCCCTGGCACGGTCAACACAAAGCAACAGCTCAGCGACAACAATAAGAACCACATCGATCAGAGAAAACGCCAAAACACTCATCTGTCACGTTTACACATTCTTTGCTTTTTGACAGAAACACCTTAAAAAAGCTTCAGTCATCCAAAACTGTGTTTTACAGGCATTTTACATGTTTTATCAGGATGTACCAGGATGTGTCAGGATGTGTCAGGATGTATCAGGAGGATGTATCAGGATGTATCAGGATGTATCAGGATGTGTCAGGATGTATCAGGATGTATCAGGATGTATCAGGATGTATCAGGATGTACCAGGATGTATCAGTATGTGTCAGTATGTGTCAGGATGTATCAGGATGTATCAGGATGTATCAGGATGTATCAGGATGTACCAGGATGTACCAGGATGTGTCAGGATGTACCAGGATGTGTCAGGATGTGTCAGGATGTGTCAGGATGTATCAGGATGTATCAGGATGTACCAGGATGTATCAGGATGTATCAGGATGTATCAGGATGTATCAGGATGTATC